ACGAAAAAGGGCGGCGTTTTGGTGCGCCTCTACTACCCGGCCGCCAACCAGTCGAAGACTCCTGAGGAGCAGCACCTGTATTGGCCCAATTGGCTGCCGCAGGAGGCCTACGGGCGCGGGTACGCCGAGGTGGCCACCATTAAATGGGAACCACTGTTCCGGTTCTTGCAGCGCATGAATGGCAACACATTCATACCGGCCATACCTAACGCCAAGCCCTACAGGGAAAAGGAGGGCAAACCCTTCCCCACCATAATCTTCTCGCACGGTTTGGGCGGCTGTCGGACACTGTATTCGGCGATATGTCTGGAGATGGCGTCCCACGGGTTCATTGTGGCGGCTGTGGAGCACAGGGACAACACGGCGTGTCTGTCCTTTTACGCCAAACAGATCCGTTACTCCATGAAAGAGTCGAATCCAAACTTCTTCAGCGAAGTGGACGGCCTTACGGAAGACGAGCCCGACTTTGGCGATGAGATCGATGACCCCAATTACATACCGCCCAAAGCGTTGGCAGCCGTGGTGTCCGTCCCGCACATCGCCATGGAGTGGGTTCGCTATCGACACGTCCCGCTCGAGAAGACAAACCGCAAGATCTATACATTCCGTAACAAACAGATCCACCACAGGGTTAGGGAGTGTTCGCGCGCTCTGGACCTACTGGAAGCGCTTCAGGCGGGCTATGAGTTGAACAACATTCTGGACCCACTGTTCGACATAACAGAGTTCGAGGGCCTCATCGATCTGGAGAAGGCCGTCATAATGGGCCACTCGATGGGCGGCGCCACAGCCATCATGTCGGCCGGCGCTGAGTTGCGCTTCAAAGTGGCCGTCTGTTTGGACGCCTGGATGTATCCCATCAAAGACGAACTCTTCGATTTGGTCACTCAACCCATTCTCTTCATCAATACCGCCAATTGTGTCGAAATGGAAGCCAATTTGGAGAAAATGAAGGAATTGATGGCAACCCCCGAGTCGTTGGTTGCCGACGAGGCCAACGATCCCAACGCCAGCCCCGAAGAGATGCGCAAAGCGGTCACCATCAAAGGGTCGGCCCATTTCAATCAAACGGACGCCCCGTTTGTGTTCAATTGGGTTACAAAGCTATTTATGTCCCGTTTTAAGACCCGGTCTAAGAGGGATCGGTTCACAGTCCACGACTTGACCAACAATTTGGCGCTTCAGTTCATTAGTCAACATTTGGGTAAGAATTGTGTATTTCTGACATTTAATTGTAATTAGTATTAATTGGTGTTTAATGGATACACAGACATAACCATTGATGAAGACGTGGAGAGATATCTAAGCGAACAAAAGAAGAAGATTAAGCCCTCATTCAAAAAGTAACAAAAC